GGGGGCCGCCGCGCCGCTGCTGCTGCTGCCGCTGCCGATCGTGTTGGGTGGTTTTGAGTCAGCAGAGAGTCCGAAGGGAGCGCCGGCCGGGCAAAGCTGCCTGCGTGCGCGTGTTCTGAGGAGACGAACGGCAGCCGGTAGCAAAATTTGCCGGGCTGAAGGCTGCGCTGGGCGAAAGGGGTGGGAGCGCAGCAGTGGGGACGGCGAGCCGAAGCAGAACAACGTTAACGCCGCTGCCGCCGCCCGAGGCTCTGCTTTCATCTCCCCCCGCCCCCGCCCCATCCCCATCGTGTGGATGTGAGCCTGAACACGCTGCCTGCCTGAGCGATGCTTTGCTTCCTTTTGCCACGGTTTGGAGCGGGGCAACGAGGCTAACTTGCTTCGCCTCCCCGAAGGGCCCGTTCGGCACCGAAGAACCCATAACGCACCCGCCCCTCTGGAACGAGCTCTCCAAGTTGGTCTGGCTGCCTCCCTTCCTGCGCATCCTTCGCAGACTTCGCTTCTGCTCCTCTTCCTGTCCTCTGGCTGAGTTTACCCAACGCGCTGAAGCACGAGGCAGCTGGAGGGTGGCATAGCGTGTGGGTGCATTAGGTCGTTATGGTTTGTAAACAAGGTCGATGTGAAGCCAACCAATGGTAGTTATTCAGTAAATCGTGGTTAAGCAAGCCATGGCTTGCCGTAGGCCGCTGAAACTGTAATTAGCCTCCCTTAGGGATGATTACCTGTAGGCGTCACACGTCTGCCTTTTCTGATTGGGAGGAGCCCTCGCCCCGCCTTTCCGTGAGTAGTTTCCACCGTGGTCTATTCTGGGTTGTCTCTCTTCCATTTCTGATGCCCGCCTTCCCCCTGTCGAACCGATCTTTAAAACGCAGAGCCATGTAATCTTAAACACACTTTGATATGCATTGGCAAATGGTAAGGTGTGAAACTCATGAGCATGATTCTGAACTGGTCCAGAGGAGCCCAGGGAGCCCCAGCCGATGGGCCTATCTGCGGGATGAGAGAAAGTGTCCAGCCCTGGATTTGGGACTGCAGTAACTCTTGTTCAGTTCAAGCTGTTTTCCATAGACTTGTGCACGTTAGCTTGCCACGTGTGAATGGTGCAGGAAAAAAAAATATACTACCGGTGGTATCCAGAGCAGGTTTTGCTTTTAAACTGAAATAGCATCTGGCTAGAGTCCCAAAGTCTGGGACTAAATCCTACTGAACTCAGTGAGTCTTTCTTTCCGCTAAGCTTGCAAAGATTGACCATGTTTGAAGACTTCCCCATCACACAGTGAGATCTGTTTCCAGTGGCTTCGTAGGCACGTGCGTGCAGTGATCTTGGGAGCGGTACAGTGGTTTGGCTTCCTTTTTTTCTGGGATTTTTTTCTACTTCCCAGTTTAGTCTACAATCCTGTGATTTCCCTGTAGCCTCCCATCCAAATACCAACCAGGCTTGACCCAGCTTAGCGTTCGAATACTGTGCAGACAAGGTCAGATCGTAAACATGTCGGCACACTTTTCTGTGGGTCACATTGACAAACCAGGAAAGCCGATTTAAACCCCACCCGTTCAAAAACAATTTACAATAATCCGGGAGTTTTACCATAACACTCAACTGTTTGAGGCCCAATATATTCAATTTTAGCCTTTCCCCCCCCCCCCTAACCTGCATCAAGAACATAGCAGAATATTTTTGGCTTATGACAGATTTATCTGCTTGGTATGCAGAATCCTCAAGCAGTTTGAAGCGCACAGGGAAAGAAGAAAGACTCACGCACATGCTCAAGCCCTGCGCATTCACACAAGATTTAACACATGTGCTCTTCTCAAAAGTAGGGGTGTAGGCGCATCCCGGTTTGGGGGATAGTCAGAATTGTCCCCTCGCTGTTTTAAACCTCCACCAGTGGGAGATGCCAGCCAAAGTTTCTGCTCTTTTCTCTGAAGCAACAGTTTGGATCTCAGGACGATCCTGGACTGTTGATGGTCTTGCAAGAAAAATAAACCCAATTTCAGCAGAACCTTCCCCCTAATGATTTGTGCTTATCAGAGTTTGTTCATTTCTTAGAGTGATCTCCCTCCTTTCCTCCACAAACAGCACTTGAGGCGGCTAACAGTAATAAAATACAGACCATTGTCCCATTTTAATAGTAAATTATTTTGGAAAAAAAACCCTGCAGTATTAGAACGAAAACATAAAAACAAATGTGTATGTTAGCCAAAACAAATCCCCAGCCTTACATCAGAAAAGCGGTCAACTTCTTCGCAATACCTGCCTGCTTCTGAGGCAAAACAACAACAGCAGCAAGAAACAAAAACCAAACTTAAACAGTATCAAACTGGGTTAGTACTTGGACGAGAAACCTCCTGGAAATCTGTGCTGTAAATTGGGAAACAAACAAAATAAGCATTCCAGAAAAAGCAGTGACAAACATGGACAAGTCGGAATCCAGGTGGAAAGGAGAGCTGTTTTTCCCCTCCCCTTCTTCCCAAGAGGGGTGGGTGGGTGTGGGTGTGGGTGTGGGTGTGGGTGTGGGTTTCCTTTGCTGGGGAGGAACGGTCGATCCCTGCGAAGCCGAAACGTCTCTTCTTCCCTTCGAGAGTTGATCCTGCCACTAGGGGGCGTGCAGGCAGGTGTACAGGAGGCGGGGAGAGGGACCAGCCGCGGGAGAACGGGGAAGGGGAGTCCCGAGACCCACACGCCAGCTACGCCCATCATTCCCGGCCACGAGAGCAAATTAGCAGGCGGTGTTGGGTTTTAGTTTCCGACTCGGTGGAAGAGAGGGATCCTACAGGGATGGAGATGGGCTTTAAGAAAGCCTGGCTCGGGAGGCGAGTCCGCTGAAAGCCCTTGAAATCGCGTAAACGCAAATCAAGGCTGGAATCGCGATTAGCTCAGCTGAGCCCGCGTTTGATGAAAGCGCGCCGCGTTTCCGCCTCACTCCGAGCCCTAAGCCCTGCCTGGCGAGGCGCACCGCCCAGGTTCGCTCTTCGCTGTAACCCAGTGTTTCTCAACCTGGGCAATTTAAGATATGTGGACTTCAACTCCCAGAATTCCCCAGCCAGCATGCGGGGAGGGGGAATTCTGGCTGGGAATTCAATGCCGGCCTGGGAATTCTGGGAGTTGAAGTCCACATATCTTAAATTGCCCAGGTTGAGAAAC